CCCGTCCGTCCGCAGGATGGAGCACACTTTGCAGCTGCGTTGTATACCTTTTAGCTGTCCTGAGTGGTTCCCCCACTCGTCAATTTGACACACTCTGCCAACACCCCAGCATCAGAAGTAGTCGGCACTTGACCGGAACGCGTACTGCAGTCTGCAGGAGGAGATTGATCTGCAGTAGCAGTATATGCACATCAGTCAAGACTGTATATACAACAAAAGATCATCACACCTACCAGCGCCGAACGTGTTGCCTTCATAGATGTCTTCATCATTCATGCTGACTAGGTGCAACTTGCGGATATATTGGACATGGGTTAAATGACGCGTTCCGTTTGCTGCGTGAAAAGCCCGGTGTACAATGTAGCCATTGCCAATAGCTAGATCCACGAGTCTCAAAAACAGCGACTTTTAGTACTTGCGGAAAGTCACTGCACGCTGCACGGAATACCGTTGCAGGCGGAGTTGAACATGCACATCAACTCCGCCCATGAACTTGGGGTAGTTCTTCACTACTTTAGGACAAGCCACTTCATGGTGCCCTCCAGTCTTCTGTCTCCTCACAACCCTCTCTAGCGCAAGGTCACTCCCGGTACCCAAGAAGAAGAAAACTGGTTTGCTGTCCCACCACTTGATAGCAGCTATTTGCTTCACTTGTTTGGATCGAACAGTAGTGAAAGTTCCCCGTATGATATGCTTGGGTCGCTCCTTCGGGTCCTTCTTCTTGTGTCTGATACTTGCAGCGAATCCAATTCGGTTTGTCATGACCGTGCCAACGATATAGAGCCCCATCAATAGTAACTGGACAGCTAGCACCACACTAGTGTAGAAGCGATCCGTAACCACGAGCCGAAAGTCATCGTCTTGACCGTCAGGAAATAATGCCTTCAGGTTAAGAGCTACCGCAGCAGGACCCGACTTCTTGTCCACCGAAGTCGCGTCATCAATGTGTTGCTTCTTGCCTACATAGACCTCATACCTGTAATATAGATCAAATATACACATAATATCATAGATGTAAGGCATAGTATACAGCTTTTCACCTCCAAACAATTCGGCAAGTACCTGATGCAGTACGCAGAATACGCGCAGCACAACATAAACAGCTTTGTGCCCCATTTACACGGTTTATCCCTCATGTACACGCGAGTTTTGTTGAGCGACAACCGCGATGGTATCATTCCTTAATCAAACACAAGCTCAGCAGGAGGTATAAAACCACGACGAAATGTGCGCTGCAGCACATGAACTACTTTTCGAATCTTCCAGGCTCTATCGGTCTTGGCGCGTGGATCAAGGTTGCTTGAGAAGTGCAGATTCCGGGAAATCTCCATGAAGCGGCCTCTCGTCATAAAGTTAGAGAGCTTGCCACGTCCGATAGCGCCTTCATCGTCCCGTTTCCAGTGGTTAGAAATTTCTTCTCGGTTTGGCTGCACGGTCCGAGCGAGAAGTAGCCCCACGAGCACACATAGTTCATGGGGAAGAACAGGCTGGACTGCCATGAGTGATATACGTACATCTCCTCGTGAACGTAGCGGAGTCTTGGCATCCGGTCGGCGACGCTGCACGTTTTTTCGACGCTCTAAGTATACTTCAACACGCGCCTCTGTCTGTTCATGTTTGTAGTTGTTGCCGCACACAGCAATATATTGCCAAATTGATACTGGTATAAAGTAGAAGAATAGTGCTAGCGGTGAATGACCACACTTTATCGCATCTGGCGTAGGTCCGAAAGGCTCCTTCCTCAAGTCCGGGTAGCTGTCTTCTTCTCCGACGGCTTCGTATGGGCGTTGCAAGTACTTGTACACATCAGGAGTCTCGGGTTCTGACCATCCAGTTACGCTGTTCTCCCGCAGATTTTTCAGGTCGTCGCCGACGACATTCCCAGCAAGCACCTTGTCCGGCCCTGAGAAACATCTTAGTAAAGTATCGCTCCGCGACAGATTCAACTGCGTTGATATCATCACCATCTGTTTCCCCATCGTCAGCTTCTCCATACTCTCTACCGCCTTCGTAACTCTCGTCTTGTAGATCATCTATGTCGAAAACAGCATTTTCATTAATCTCGTCTCCAGAGTCAAGGTCACCAAAGTCGTTAGGGTCTTCTCTCCTCCATTTTGTTGAGATTATCTTCCACGTCGTGACACATGAGACTATCGGCTATACAACACAATGCATATCACATGTTAGACAGGGTAGGACGTGGGCTGTATATACAGAGTACATCAAGACGCACCATCCTCGTAGTCGGCAATCGCCGTTATCGTCGTCGACGATAACAACATCGCCCTCGTCGATGACAACTTCATTGTCACTGTCATCTTCGTCCGACGAGCCAAACCGAGACGTCCCAATAGAAGTATGGCTGCAGGGCTTGACAGAACCACCCTGTCCCGCGGAACCAGTTCGTACTCGTCATTCTTGTCTTCTGAACTAAAAATGCCATCTCTGTCATCTGCACCACAAGACATACACACGGTAATTAAGGCAATCCAAGTAGAGATGTTGAGAGTACATACCATTCACAGGACCCGAAGAGGCTCTCAGACGCGGAGGGGAATCAGAACGCTCGGCTGCGGTCGATTTGGTCGTATCTTGCGACGTCGCCTGCAATTCCTCGACGCTTGGACCAACTGGAGTCGTTGATTTAGCGACCTAAGTGCTCGACGGCGTAGGAGCTAAACATAAGCAATGGCAATCGGAACGTGACAAACCAAATCATCCTGCATTGACATATAGCATACGTCTACCTTTTACAGAGCACGCCGAGCTCAGCGCTTCGGCTGATGCCATTGAATGAGCTAACATAGACCAGTACTAAGTCACGTGGCCGCAACATTAGCAAGATGAAGGCAGCGTTGTGCTCGTACCGGAGACATAGTGAGCGCACACTCGAGCTTCACCCAAAAAGTAGTCCTTGGCGTTGATATCGTTTGCTTTTCTGCCAGGCGGAATAAATTTCCACCAGGTCTCGTTTGAGCTAGCTGGGGGCGTCTTGTGCGTCCACCCGCTCGCCTTCAGCTGGCTCCAGATGTGGCGCCAGGTAGGCGTACCGCCGTCGACGATGCGCTCGGCCCGACGTTTTTCGCGCGCAGCACACATTGGTCTCCAAATCTGCAAATTTTGAAATGAAGAAAGCTCGACGGTCACCACTAAAAAAAGCGATATATGTTAGATGATGTGGCGCTTGGTTGTAAGACCTACAACAACTAATTTTCAAATTTTTTGGACATGGACTGCACTCTCTTCCCTCGCCTTTTTCTTCGCATAGCAGACAGAAACTGCGCAGCTCATTGACTTCAGCTTTTTATGGCCTGCAACAGCGGCATGCGTAAAAAATCGTCGGGTTTACAAAAATCAAGTATAAAGTGGTTCCTGGGCTGTATATATACAACTTAGAGGAGGATTATCCTTCCCATAGGATTTACTAGCACATCTTATACAGCGCATCGCGTTAAAGGGGTTAAACTCATGTAGAGTACATATAACCAAACTTTGGCTAAATCAATTTAACAAGTAAACATCAAACTCTAGTTCTTATCATTTTCTGGAGCTTCTAATTTAAGTTGCTTGGATTAGAATGTTGCGGGATGACGATGACAAAAACATAAACTTATGTAAGCACAGTTCGTCGAGCTGCGAGCACAGTTCATCGACCTGCAAATAGTTATCTTTTTTCGTCCGCATGATAGTTGCCCACTAACACCACTACTGTATTACTAAGATTAAAAAAATGATTTTGCTCTTTGTAAAAACAGGCGATCACACGTAAGACAATATCTCAGTTGTCGCATTTTAATCAGTATTTTAATCGACGGATACTCATTCCGGGCTCTTTGATCTGTCAGAGACAATGAATGTTTCAGGAAGGATAATTGGTGGTTACACTTTTGTTATATACATTATCAGTTTACTGCCAAACTGTTTCACCATTACGAAGTATTATAAGTACCAAATGATATCAGATACCATGTTAAACGCACTACAAAGAGTAGTGCCTTCGTACGTTTAATCTCTGATAATAAAACGTTATTGGGTCAAAAATACTACTTTTCACCGAAGAAATACGCCACCAATGGAGCTGTAGTTCTCTGTCCGCTCAAAAATCTCCTTCGTCCCTGCACCAATCACATATACCTCGACCGCACGCACACACACCGGCTGAACAAGTGCAAGTTCCCGCCTGAATAGTAGCTACCATCTATCCTGTCACCAACTACAGAAATTGCACTGCTCCTGTCGAAGCCATGCATCACGACAGTGTAGCTAATACCTGTCTCGGATTTTGTGACGTCACCGATTCAGTACATATATAGATGGTGACGAGTATCAGCGCCGAACAGAAATCGTCACTGCCTTGGGAAATGATGAGCTGACGGAGGCTACATGGTACCTTGAGGCTCAAGGCTTGAGCCAAAGCATTCCGAGAGCCAAAGACGCTGGGTCAGTGACTCTGCGTTCAGGTATTAATACACGTAGAGCAAATTCGTGACAACATAACGCGAGGCGGTGCTGTCTTCACCATCATTACTTTCCACGTGCCATGTCGATTAATTTTGAGCATGATAGCAAGTTTTCATTCCTGAAATTGCCTTCCTATGCACAGCTACCGAGAACATGACGACGCCGACAGAGCCCCTCATTCGGCTCTCTTTTGTCAGCGGCACACCATCGCAAGCCCATGAGCCAGAAAAGGCTCTTGGCTACGTACAGACCAAGTCCCCGGATCCGTCCTCTCTTGAGGGTGGTGCTCTGCGTGAGGGTGGAGCCCCGATCCTTACCAGTCGCGACAGTATTGGTCTCCTCTTCCAATACGCTGCAGTGGGTATCAACTACGGCCTGCTGCCCACTACCATCTACCCTTTTCTACAGCAATACCTGAACGCAACGGGGTCCAAGTCACCACCGCCTCAACACTTGTCATTCTACCGTGGAGTTTCAAGGTGTTTTATGGCATTCTTTCGGACTGCGTGCCTCTATTCGGATACCGTCGCAAAGTCTGGATGCTCATCGGTTGGACTATGTGTCTCATTATGCTGATCGTCATGGCTGCGTCTCCTGCTGGTGAGCCGTACTACACGGTACCGTCCGACCGCGACATCGACCCTGCTGATTACACGCCGGAGATTGAGGCTCGCATCAACTTTGACGCGGGCAACCAGGCTGGCAAATACGTCATGCTCATGTTCTTCGCCGCTATTGGCTACGTCCTAGCTGACGTCTGCGCCGACAGTATCGTGGTGGAATACGCTCAACGGGAGCCTGTTGAAAAGCGCGGCACGATTCAGTCTGCCATTTACGCGGTTCGCACTGTATTCGTCATCATTGGCCAGCTTTTGGTTGGTTTCTGCTTCAATAGTGAGGCGTACGGGGGTCAGTTCGACTTCTCGCTGAACTTCCCACAATTAATGGCCATCGTCGCTGTCATCACTGCGCCGATCCTCCCTATCTCATGGCTGCTCATTAAAGAGGACAAGCAGACGAGAGTGCCATTCCGAAAGTACATGACCGAGTTGTGGGACCTGATTCAAAAGCGTGCAGTCTACCAAGTCGTTTTCTACCAGTTCTTCCAGAACGTCTTCTCTAACATCTCGTACACTGCCAGCTCTCCAGTGCAATCGTACATGGTCGGCGTCACTCCGACCAACAACACTATCAGTGAGATTATTAGCAACGTGCTCTTCATGGGAGGCATCATGGCTACGTCCAAGTGGGGTCTGCACTGGAACTGGCGCACAATGATCCTCTTTACGGGTATCTTCGTCATCCTCGCGGATGGTATTACGACTTTCCTTACAATTTGGAATGTGTTCCGTAGCCAGTGGTTCTGGCTCGGTATCCCGATGGCCGTGCAGCTCCCGTACGGTGTGGGCTGGATGATCGGGAATTTTGTCATTGTCGAGCTGTCTGGTATCGGCAATGAAGGGGCCATCTACGGTCTTATTACTATGGTCGGCAACTTGTCGTCTCCGTTTGCACAAGCGTTGACGCTAGTGATTAATCAGCCCCTTAACTTGACTACAGCTCGTATCCAGGCCGACGACACGTCCATCCGAACAGACCTCACCTACGCGGTGTTGATCATGTACGGCATGACCATCTTTTCATGGGTCTTCCTGGTTTTCCTTCCTCGACAGAAAGAGGAGACGCAGGAGTTGCTCCGCACGGGTGGGAGTAGCAGGGTGCTCTCGCGGTCTTCTACGTCATGTTCGCGTTCGTTTGGTCCCTCATGACCAATATCATGGCCATGTATGAATCCACATCGTGTTTGATAATAGCTGGTGGCAAGGGATGCTAGATTCCTTATGTGACCGTCACAAGATCCACTACCGGAATCCAGAAAACAGTCTCATCATGAACGTACAACTCCCATATAAGTTTCGGTTGGGACAAAAGCTCACTTCATTATTATTTCGTTTCTTTTTTTCCTCCCAAAAGCGAAGTGCGTCTTTCGTAGGGCGTGATTTCTTCGGTGCAGCTCCTCTTAGTTCTTGTCTCGCCAAAGGGCCGAAAACGCTAGATACGACTTGAAGTTCTCGTTCTTGTGTGCATCCTGCCCCAACCCAGACAGCCCCAATTTATTCTATACGGATTTCGGGGTTTCTCCATTCCTGAGCCAAAGTTTGTGCTTGATCCAGGACCCCAACCCCCTTTCTTTATCCTCAGCGACGTAGCCTTTTTGCTCGTTGTTGTAGTGAGTCCTCAGTGAATGCTCCGCAGCTCTATCGCTATTGCCAACAGAAGAATCTAACTGAGTCGATTCAATCTGTCCGGTGTTATCGGCTGCCGACACGACATCGGTGGTGGCATAAAGACTGGTGGCAATAATCACGATGCACACGCATCGTTTTTTTAAGTACCGACGCAGTGGGGTTAGAGAGAGGAAATGGTAAAGACCGCCACGGACTGCAGATTTGCCGATTAATAAGCGACGCTGCTCACGCTGGTCCCATCTAATTCAGAGGTTTGGCATCGCAGTCGCCCGGCAAACAGAATAAACATGATGGCAGAGGAAAAAGAGAGATAACTCTATCAATCGACGCTTTATTACTTTTTCTGATCATCAACATCATCGTACCAGTAAGCATTATGACAGCATTATCGTGTCGGATGTGTAAGCAAAATATCTGCTCCCTCGGGACAGGATTCGTAGATTTTTTATCAATAATGAAATGCGTAAAAAAAACTTAGATAATCGTGCGCCTCACATGACAGCTTCATGGCATTATAGTTGCCCCATCAGGTGGTGATACTTTGTAAGGGGGCTGCGCAATGCGCTAGGGCCCTAGTAGCTCCTACTCTACAATTAGTGCTTGGTTTGTACGGGCGCTCCTTTCAATCTCAAAGTTGGGCTATTAAGAGCACGTGCAGTGAGGTGCAATTATTACAGATCTTAAGCGCCAGTGCATCAATACCAGCAAGGCCTGTGCCTGTCCAATGTGCGATTAAAGATTAAACATTGTCTACCCCCCCCTAAACATACTTAGACATCCAGATATGATGTGATGGACCATCGATGGTACAGAAGCCAGAGCGCCCCTTGTCATTGCGACCTTGTCGCATGGTTGGTTTTCGTATGTTATCCTATTTTTCAGGCTGTGTCGTACACCACCTCTAGGGTCGGGTAGTCCGCGGCTGTTCAGGGAGTACGGTCTCGAGTAGTGACAGGAACGGTAGCACAAGATAACTTAATATATCAAAAAGCTTCTTGTTTCTTTCTCTCACTCAGCTTAGGCAAGAGGTAGTAAATGTAAGACTGAGACTAACGAGGGCCTACCGCCAACTCGCTTTCCTATACACGACACCGCTTCAGTTTATCTTGATCAAAAGAGTCCTTCTCCATGACATCCGTCCTCGTGCGGCGACAGGAAGGTCCGAGACGCGGTCCACCTTGCGCATCCGGCCTTGTCCCGAGCCACGTAGGACGATAGGAGGGAACTCACACACCGTTCCTGTACTCCATCGTAGCGTTCGAATACAATCACACCATAACTTCACCGGTCTCATGTGCGAAGTGAGTGGGAGCTTGCGGGGTCAACGGGAACCAGCCGCCCACCGTCGCAGCTCGTTGATCCTCGCCGAGATTCCTTGGCACAAAAGCCTGCCCGCCAGCGCCTGGCACGACACCTACATTCCCGGGTACGGGACATACTCCCCGACTTGGGGTTTGCCGTCCTCGGCGAATGGATGGCCAATGCTGGCGGCGCAGGCGAGCCATTGTTTCGGGCGCACCCGAAGGTCGATAGGATGGTCCGGCGGTTGCTCGGTTCCATTATAGTTACCCAGGAACGCTTCCGTAGCAGGGGCATCTTCTTCCGCCGCTTGAAAGTCGTGTAGCACTTCGATACCGTCCTTGTACCGCAAGCGTTCCAAGCAGAGAGCCTCGGCACGCCTACGCTTCGAAGCGTTCAGCTGGGTGTTAGCTAAAGCTTGACCGACCACACTCTGGGGAGCCATCGAAAGCAGCGGGTTATCCTCTTCGCACAGACGCAGTGCGTGCGAAATCACACCGGTCACTACGACGATAAGAGGTACTAGCAGGTCCCAGCGAGTCCATTGGTAACAGTAGTCGTACGTTACTAGCAGCATAAGTCCGATGGCGACACCGATAGGTCCTTGTAGAACGAACTCCACTAGGTCGTAGAGGTTAATAGGTACGAACAGCAGCAACGACAGGCACAGTAACGCGACCCAGCAGACGAACTCGCCAACGCCATAGCAACGAAGTAGAGTAGCCCGGCTGGCTCCCCATGAAGCGTTCCAGTAACGCTTCGCGGAGTCCTTGGTGTCCACGAGCACGTTAGGTAGGTACTCGGCGAAGGTGACCTTGCATGCCATCCACCAACTGCGGAGCATCCTCCCATCAGCACCGTATCTCGCATCCTCGTCCTGAAGGACCCAGGTAGGTGCGTTAAAGAAAATGCTCCACGCCGCGAAAGCGTACACCGAGCCGCGTAGTTGGCGGAATTCACGGTCTTGCAGAGTGTGTCGGTAAGAAGAGGCACACTCTCCACAGATTTCGAGGTTCATGGAGAGAACGCGCCAAACCTGCGTCAGGAACACCCACCCGACGCTCCTAATGGGAGTCGTCAACACCCAGACGACGATCACGCTGGTGTATACCGGCCATAGCTCCCACCGCGCGTATTCCAGGACGAGGCTTGCCTGAACCCCCATTCCTTGTGAAGAACTTTCACAAATGAGAAGAAGACACGTCCGACTCCGCCGCGTACTGTTCCTCCAACTTCGTGGTCACTGCCCATCAATCGGTCACAGTCGACCTCTGGGAGAGGGCAGTGGACAGCCAACGGCGAGGTTCTTGAGAAACGCCAGAGAGACGGAGGCGGCAACCAGTCTGCCAATTTTCCGCCTCATTCGGCAATTTGCCTCCACGCGACGCAGACGCCAGCACCCGACGACTCTTTTCCCAGCACTAGCGGCATGGGTGGCTTCGGCGATAAGGATCGCTACAAGAAACTCCGTGAGGTCGTCGAGGAGGAGTCCTCCGACTCGTCTGAAGGAGCGCCTCGACCGCAGGACTCCGCCGCCGATGTCTGTTTCTGGCTGGCGATGCGCGACGTGCTCGCCATCAACGAAGGACGGTGGGGATAGGGATACTGGACGAGATAGCGGCGGCCATCATCCAGGGCAGCGGTAAGGCCAGCGATGCCTTGACTGGTCCCGTTATGATCCTGCCTTCGCCCTCGCGACAGCACGCCCGCGGAAAGCCACCACAGGATCGCCGCTTCGCTAGAGTCTCGCTCCCTGCGCCACAGAACGCTAGACCGGGCTCGAGAAAGAAGAAGACGCAGGACTCTCAAGGCACGTCGTCGCAGGGGCGCAAGGACCGGTCTTCTCCTCCCTTCGACTTACCATTCGAGCTCGCCGACAGGACTCCCCCGCGGGTGCGCCACGATCTCGAGAAGATCTATCAAGAGGCCGTTTTGCTCGGGCTGGAGCCGTTCCAGTTGGCTTTCCCGTGGAGAGGGTCCGTCCTCTGGTACAGTCCCTTCGATTTTCCTTTGGTGCACGTAGCGCATTGGCACTTCTGGAACAGGAACCGCGCCCGCTTCTGGGACTGGCAGCTCAATGCGCCTCTCAAGAACTCCAGCGCGCGCCGTAAGGCTAAGATGTTGGCTCTCGTGGCCCGCGTGCGCTTCCTTAGTGTCTGCATTGAAACGTGGGGCTACTACGGCTTTCTTGAACTGTTCGAGAGGTGCACGAGCCGGCGCCGTTTAATGTGGATGGGCGGGCAACCAGGCCGGTACACTCCTGATGCCAAGTCGTACCGGGGCCCCGTGATCGACAGTTTGACTCGCCTATATCAGCACGACCAAAAAGGTTACGTTCGACGCATCCGGGGCGCTCTGAAGCCTTTCGGGATCGACGAGGGCGGCTTTGCTACTATGACGGAGCTCTTATTCCACACTGGCGCCCTGGATCCGAACAGTGCAAAGGCAGACAGGCAGCTCTCGGATCGCGCCTTGGCTCGGGTGCTTCACGACGTCAAGTCCAAGACCAAGCACGCTTCTCATTGGGTAGGAGATCTCTCAGACGGAGTGTGGCACGCTCTTACTCACTGTCCACGCCTCAAGAAGTTGGAGGTCAAGATAGCCCGCGAACTCCGCGATGAAACGCTCAAGGCACCTAGGATCGCTCCCTTTGATTCCTCTGAAGCCGATCAGGACGGGTACGCATCGTTCGAGCGTACCAACGGAGCCTTCACCGCGTCTTGGGCAGGGGTCGAGGAAGAAGACGCTGAATCGGAGGAAGTAGAGTCCGAGAACGAGGACGACGGACCTGACGGCAAAGACGCACGGGTGGGGCCGGTGGCAAGCGTCCCGTCAAGCGTCAGCACTTGTCACGCTCTCCTCCTCCTAAGTCGAAGAAGTCGGCCAAGCGTTCCACGTCACGCTCTCCTCCTCCTAAGTCGAAGAAGTCGGCCAAGCGTTCCACGTCACGCTCTCGTTCACCACGGCGTTCGTACAAGTGGAAGCGTCGCTCGCGGTCGCGCGAGCGTTCACTTACGCCCGAGCGACCTCCTCTCCCCAAGCGCGCAAGCGGCAAGCGCAAGGCTAGCATCTCGTATTCGGAGCGATCGCGTTCGCCTACTCCAGTAAAGAAGAAGTCCCGACGCACACTGTCGCCCAAGTGTTCTCGCCATCCGTCACAGTCTCGGTCACGATCGGCGTCTCCGGAGAAGAAGAAGTCGAGACGTACGCTTTCTCCTAAGCGCCCGGCGTCGCAGTCCAAGTCGTCGACCAAGCGGGATTCGGCGCAGGCCACTCGACGGCGTTC